CGATATCGGAGAGTTGGCTGCGCTTACGGTGGCCAACGAGTCGCTCGATATGAACGGATCGGCCGCTAACTCCCAAATGAACACTGAATTTAGAAAGACATGGAATCCTAAATATATTCTTAAGTAATTGTTATTTACTTTTTAAATAGTTTTATTATTTTTTATACAATATATTCACTGACAAAACATTTGCTTTTTGTTTGTTTACTAATTATAAGTTTACGATTGAATGAATTTGTAGTCGCAGTGACTGAAAATGATAACAATTATTTTGTTGTTATAATTACTGATCGTATGATTACTTTCTATTCAAATGACAAGAAAGTAAAATTAGTTTTTAACTGCGATAACAATAATTAACGATAATATACATAATTGACGCTTTGATTTATAATTAATTGATTGCGTTTTTTTGTAGATCACATTTTGATTGTGTCCGATGTCTGCGATTTCACGCCACAGAACCGCTGCTCATAACCTGTTCTGAAGACGAAACAATTAAACTCTGGAATCTAAACAAAACCCAACAGTCAAACGATATCGGAGAGTTGGCTGCGCTTACGGTGGCCAACGAGTCGCTCGATATGAACGGATCGGCCGCTAACTCCCAAATGAACACTGAATTTAGAAAGACATGGAATCCTAAATATATTCTTAAGTAAATGTTATTTACTTTTTAAATAGTTTTAGTATTTTTGTATACAATATATTCGCTGACAAAACATTTGCTTTTTGTTTGTTTACTAATTATAAGTTTACGATTGAATGAATTTGTAGTCGCAGTGACTGAAAATGATAACAATTAGTTTGTTGTTATAATTACTGATCGTATGATTACTTTCTATTCAAATGACAAGAAAGTAAAATTAGTTTTTAACTGCGATAACAATAATTAACTATAATATACATAATTGACGCTTTGATTTATAATTAATTGATTGCGTTTTTTTTTGTAGATCACATTTTGATTGTGTCCGATGTCTGCGATTTCACGCCACAGAACCGCTGCTCATAACCTGTTCTGAAGACGAAACAATTAAACTCTGGAATCTAAACAAAACCCAACAGTCAAACAAAGGTTAGCCCTCTATTGAGCGCACATTTAACTGTAAATTTAAGTTTTTATTATAAATTAAAATTGTTTATTGCTTGTGATTTGTAGGGAAACAACAACAACAGCAGCCAATGGGTCCGACCGGTGGCACGACCTTTGACTTAGAGCCCGTTTATACATATAGGGGCCACACATCCCGAGTATTATCATTAACGGTGAATAGCAATACGATATATTCCGGGGCACAAAACGGTCAGCTAATGATTTGGTCGATTCCGGCCAACATCGCGAACATTGATCCGTACGACTCCTACGACCTCAACCTCCAGTTATATCAAATCGATGCCCACACGAACGCCATCTGGTCTCTGGTGGCCATCCCTTCGTCCACTTCCCCGACACCTATACTGTGTTCGGCAGCTGCGGATCAGACCATTAAGATATGGGACACATCACGAGCCACTTGTACTAAAACCATTACATTAGAAGGTATTGATTGCATATTCCAATGCTTTGTTGCGTTTATTAATGATTTAAATTTGTTTGTAAAGGGAGTGTCCGACCGACTAGTTTGGCAGCCGTTGCGCCCCATAATAACAACAGTGAAAGTAGTTCTCCATCACTACTGGCCGCTGCCTTCACTGACGGCTCAATTAGCGTATACGACTTGGAGGCTACGTCTGGTTCTAAGCCTGTGCTCACCTTCGAGGCGGGCGCACCCGGACGTGTCAACGCCATTGCCGTACACCCGACTATGCCTGTAGTGGTCAGCGCTCACGAGGACCGGCAGATCAAGTTATGGGATCTAAATAGCGGTCAGTATTTCAATAATAATTCGTATTGTTAATAAGATTTGTTTTATTAATAATTTGATTGTTTGCCCAAAAATAGGTAAATGCATTCACGCAATGGTCGCACATTTAGATGAAGTGACATGTCTTGCCTGTGATCCCAATGGACTGTATTTATTAAGTGGAAGTAAGCGATCATTTTATGTCATCCATTAATTTATTTATTAGATTATATTTGCATTAATACCGGTAATCATCGCATACCTAATGACTCCATTCATTCAATTCCTGTTTAGAAATTGATTTTTCTTTTTATATTTACTGGAAATTAGTTTTTGTGTTTTTATTTAACAAATAATACAATAGTTGATAAAAATTCTCTCTCATGGCTTACATTTGTGGTATAATATATGGGTTTTATAATGGGTTTAATGGTTAGTTCGCTCGTACTATGCATTTTGAAGAGGAGTCGCTGTTTATAAATAAATAAAAAGACAAACAAAATATAAACAATTATCAGAAATTGAATTTGTTTAACACATTTAATATTTGCATTAAATTTATGGGTTTCTCTTCCCTCACAATTATTATCAGTTTTAATAAGAAATAATTAATTTCTAGTTATATTGTAATTATGTTGACAACGATTAAAATACTAATGTATTGGTGGTGTGTGTGTCGTACGTATAGGTCATGACTGTAGTGTCCGTCTGTGGAACTTCGACAGCAGGACATGTGTTCAAGAGATTACATCCCATCGCAAGAAGTTTGACGAAGCGATATTCGACGTGACATTTCATCCGAGTAGGCCTTACTTCGCCTCCGGCGGCGCCGACGCTTTGGCCAAAGTGTTTGTTTGATTACAACTGTTGTCTAATGTATATTGAGATTGAAATTTTTTGTTTGTTTGTGTTTCTCATACACTCCACTCAATTATTATAGTGTTTTTCTGTTTGCTATTTATTCCTCTCTCTTATGTCTAAATGCTATCACTCTCTATCCTCCCGTCCTTTCGCTATCCCTTTCACACCATTTATCGCCTATTATTTAATTAATTAAAGTATGAAATATATCGACAAAAACTACTCCATAAAGAATTGTATTCTTATTATTAATTAATTAATTAATTTAATTGTAAAACTCAATCATTGATACGAACAGTAATTTATAGGTAAATAAGTGAATAAAATAAATGAGCGATCATTTTCTGCGACCTGTTTTGTCAATCCCCGCGACCGGAGTGTAGGCTATGATCGGCTTTTTTGTGACAAAGTTTTTTATAGGATATAATAATAACATGAAAAATACACGTTAAAGGAATTTGCGATCAATTTATTAGATATTAATTTATTGTTTTTTGTATGTAATGTTTTTTTGCGAAGGAAATTATCGATTAAATAAAATTTCAAAACTAATTTTCATTGTTTTAGCTGAACATTAGGGAAATGAAACACACAATACATTACTTTTACTTCTCTTCTATTTCTTATACTTTTATTTATAAAAAAGATTTAATAAATTATATGCTTTTTCTTATTTTTAAGACACGAGTAAGAAATAACAGAGAATATCATTTATTTTGTACCGATTTATGCCATTTTAAATGTAATGTTTATTTCGGATTGTAATTTAGGAGACGATAATTAACCAATTGTTTGGTTGATTAGTGTATTTTTTGGCGTGTTTTTTAATTGTGAGAATTATATACTCGTTCTCTCTATCCGTACAGCAGTTGTGTTGTTAACAATTATAGTGTTTTGTTTTTTGATTGAAATTTGTATAATTGTTTGCTAAGAGAAACTACACGACTGTTTGGCCGATAGAGAGAGTCTTAAAGACATTATAACTGATAAAACAAGCAAAATAAGTCTTAATTTAATTTAATTTCTATTAAAATATGTAATTAATAAATAATTTTTGTATATTATATTAATTACAAGTGTTTTGTAGGACAAAAACGGATGCAAAATGATTGATAAAAAGCAGTTTTTGTATCACTGATGAGAGTTTCCCAACAGTTTTTACATAGATTTATGAGAAAAATTGATATTTTGTTTTTTTAATTTCTTAAATTACATAACATTTGTATGAATACAGAGAAAGAAAATGACATTTTCTTTATTGTTAAACAAATCCCTTATGATATAAGAAGAGCTCAAACTCTAAACTATGTTTTATTATGTGTTAAATGAAATACAAATTTGTTTTGTCAATGGATTTACATCTAATTTATACAAATTTTTTGTTTTGTTTTCTCAAACGTTTTCTTAATTTAAATAGTTATTTAAGAATACCATATATTTATATATTATTTTTGTGAACAGTAAAAAAACTTAACAAAACAAACAAACAAACCAACAGTTTTCCGATTCATTGTTGTCACACATTTCTCTCCCTCTCTATTCAATACATTATTTCATTAATAGTCTGTTTTATCGCAAAATTTCTAATTAATTTTCTTTTCATAAATTTTAATAAATAATTTTTTGAATTAACCCGTCGTGTGTTTTGTCTGTTTTTCTACATTATATGTTATATAATATTATAATATATTTTTTGTTTATTTTTCGCGTATAATTCGTGACTATATTTAATATGAATTATAATTAGCTATTAATTAGTTTCAAATAATTCATGTTATCAAATAATTTATTATATTTCGTTCACTAATCATATCATCAAATAAGACATTCTTATAGTTTATCATATTTTAAATTATAGTTCAATAAGTATTGTATTGAATCCGACAAAGAATTGCTCCCAAAAAAGGATATGTTTTTCTAAAGATTTGCATCAATTTATGAGTTTATTCCTAAACAGCTCTATATTTAAAGTTAATTTTAGTCTCATTTATAAGACATCAGAATTTGAATCAATGGATCCATCGTTTGAAGAAATATTTTTTACAATAAACGAAAAATTATAATTCAATCTTTGATTATATCGTCGATGTAATCATACAAATCTGTTTGGATATTATATATTCAGTATTAAAGGTAAGTTATGAGAGAAATGTGTGACAACAATGAATCGGAAAACTGTTGGTTTGTTTGTTTGTTTTGTTAAGTTTTTTTACTGTTCACAAAAATAATATATAAATATATGGTATTCTTAAATAACTATTTAAATTAA